AGACAGCTTCTAGTCAAGGCTGCTAGTGTGTTAGCAAGCTTTGTTCTGTTTCCTCTTGATTGCCTAGAACTTGATCAGAGGAATCTGCTGTGCATATAATACCAAATGTCTTGCTGTATTGATGCTATATCCTTTAATGTAGCTTTAGGGTCCTTGCATAATGGATCCATGAGTCTATCAATTTTTGGACCTTTCTAAGAACTAGGTTTTAGGGGAGATCCCACAATAACTGACACAGCTCACCTTTCTTGTATTCTTGATTTTTTTTCATAACCATCTCCCGAATGAACATTATTGACAAGAGCTGAAATGATTATTAATTTTTTTAACATGATTGATCAGATCTACTAGGTTTAATGACCACTATAGTGCGACAATGTTATGTGAAGCATCTTGATTCTCGGACTTTTCATAATCCAAGATGATCTTTGGTTCTAGTTTTTTTTGCTTGGTCTCTATATTATTTGGATCTGAGTTGAAACACGTATGTTTTCTCCCACACTAGTAAATGATACGAAACTGAGTTGAGACATTTATGCTTTATCCCACATTAATAATTGATGCCAAGCATAAAACTCAAACCGAAGGGCTTTTTGCATTAAGAAAAGTCCAATAATCAGGATGAAGTAAGATGATCAAGATTCACATTATTAATGATAATACAAGCTATGCAATCAATGGTTGGGACAATTTTTCAACCAATAATGAAAACACTTTGCTACTTGTTTTTCAACTAAGCCAATAGAACCACTAATGTGGAGCTTTTTTGTGCTTTTAGCTAGATGAATTTTTTGTTCACAAATAGGGATCTTATGAGATATATGCATAGATTTATCTGTAGATCTCAATAGTCCGTTTATCGATTGTGAACTTACTCGTAGTCAAACATGTACAATACATCATTTTGTAAATAAATTATAATCTCCTATTGGAAATTTTAAAAAAAATAAATACATAAACTGNTATTTAGTATTTGACAATACACAACATAAGCGTTGGATAATAATTATTTAATCTAATCTGTTGTTATTTAATCCTATCGGTTGTTTAGTTAGGACATTATTTTCATGGTATTAATGTTGAATTAACAAAGATACCTTTAACCAGTGTTTGTTATATTGATAACAACTTGATTTTATCAGTTGTGAGATTATAATAGTAAATGTATATAATAATACATTTGAAATGAATTATAATATCATCTCTCCTGGTGATATTGAAACACCTACATAATACAAGTTTATGATACTAAAAATATATGATAAATATACGATTAATATACATTTTTTAAATTAATACTGAATTAAATTTATCTACAAATAAAGTATTAGGCCAGATTAAATGAGCAATAGTATAATATAATATTTAATTCACTTATAATACGTCTACCAAACGAGCCATTATAAGTCCTAATAAATTAAAAATCAACTTGTTTTACAATTTAACAAAACTAAATTAATAAATCCAAGCCCCACTTTCAAAAGTCTTAACTCTTAGAGGAGTGGATGAAAATTTATCAATCAACGTGAACCTATTGCTGCAACCGATGTTAAATTTCAATTATTTATTTTATTTTTTTTTGATGAACATACGAAAGAGAATAAATATATATTTTAAATATATTTTATTTAATATCATATTGCGATAGCAAGAGCTCAATAATACTGCTTCCCTTGTGTGGTTTATAAGGTGTATACGATAGCTGCCTTCCCTTGTCTGCTTATTTGGCTGGGTCCCCCTCTTGGCCTCTTGTAGGCTTGTACATTTGCACCCATCTCCTTTTTCAATTGTCATTCTCATGGACAAACCACCACTTGACTTATCAGAACTCAATTATTCTTATCCCACCTTCAAATAATTCACAACCACTATTGTCTTACTTCAAACTAGGACTGATAATTGAATCGACCTACTTGAACTCGACTCATGTTTTAAACGGGTCAAACTTGAACAATTTTTTAGATTTTTTTAGAAAACGAGCTTAAAAGGCTCAGCTCTTTTATATATAAAATAGTTGAGCCACTCGGGCTTGACCCATTTTCTAAATGAGCCAGATTTAAACAATTTTTTAAGCTCGTTTAAAAAAACGAGCTCCATAGGCTCAACTCGATTATCAACTCTACTTAGACATGGTGGGAGATCAGTTACCCAATGAGGGGGGGGGGGGGGGGGGGGGG